CTGGACAAAAGAGCAATCCATTTAGTCTTTCTAAAGTTTCAATTAGATGAGATGTGAAAACTGCTTACTACCCCGGTTGCTCGACGTGAAATCCATCAAACTGCTTTGCAAAACTCAAGGATCGATTGCCGTGCAGGGCCCACTGCTTCTTGGCCTCTTCCAGGTAGGAAGAGGCTTCTTCACCCTTGATGATTTCACTTAAAATGCCCAGAAACTTCTTGATTCGACTGGTGAAGTGTCATAAAGAGTCAGGTAAGAAAGACTTTTATTACTGATTGTGTAAACACTTACTTATGTAAACCATCAAAATCGATTTCGGTCGGCCAACCCTTGCTTATGCCAGAAGGTATAAGCTCACGCTCAGCCTCATGGAGATGGCAGAATTCAGCGTATTGGCCAAACTGGAACCAAAACAAGAGTCTACACATGTCAGATCAAATTGTAGTATTATAAAGGTGTAAAATATAAGATCAAAGACATACATGAAGCGACTTGACATTGGCCATAGCCATCAGTTGTTCTTTCATATGTAGAAGACGTTTAGATGGCTCTTTCGGAAGCGGATCATCACAGAATGGACACAGAGATAGATTGTGATTGATGGACAATTGGGAAACTTGACTAGCATCCAAATCGGTATCAGAAGAACCTGAGTGATTTGATTCGGAATATGATTCTGAAGTAGTATCAGTTTGAGTTTCATTTGTCAACACCGGATTGTTGACTTTGATGACTGAAAGATTGAGCTGAATATCGGCCTGATCGGTCTTTACATCCACAGCCAATTGATTCGGACAGGTGTTTATTTGGTGACCGGGAGTTTTGCAATGGCTGCATTTCTTCACCCGCACCACATTAGCAGGCCTTTTAACATTTGTAGACGCCTTGGTAGCGAGTTTTTTAGCCTCCTTAGCCGCCTCCTTACCCTTTTGGGTTTCTTCGGCCTCAAAATCTGAAATCCATCGGCCCTGCTGACCCACGTGCAACTTTTGGGTTTTGTGTTTCGGTTTCTCAGTAGATGGAGAGGTTTGAGACATTTCAACTTTTCGTTTCTGGCTGTTGGAAGGTCGGCCACGATTATTAACTTTGACTTCGGCCGATAAGATGGGTACAAGAGAGTATCTTCCAGTTTCCAATCGGGAAATGTCTTCATACAATCTTTGGAGAGTGTGTTCAGGTAGCTCTGAAAGTAAAGCAAATTTGGATTGAGCGGCCACCTTAAGCGCGTTGTGAGTTTCGGGTGCGATGTCCATGGCGAGTTTCCACTGGTCATGACAGAGATTTGGCGATAAGTAGTCAGTTTCGTCTCTAGCCTTTCCGATATCGTGAGAGCACGGAAGCCCCCAAGCCCCACGAAAGGTTCCTGTACAAGGCCTATTGAGTGATTGAGGTAATAGATCATATTGGCTCTTCATTTTCGTGATTGCAAAGTGAGAAACTACACCCGAAACATTCTTGAAAAAAGGTGGAAGGCCTTGAAGGGTTTTTGTCATCTCAATACCCGTGGACACCTTGATTTCGCTGATCTGTTGATCGCCGGCTTGCTTGAAAGCATTGAAACAAGTCACAAAATCATTATTGCGGCCTTTGAGAAACTGTTTGAGTCGGAAGTGGCTGCCCTCAACTCGTGAAGTAGAAGAGTTACCGAAGTGGTGATTTTTGGAAGTGAAGAGGGAAACGAATTTTTCGGTCCTATTGAGCCATGTACGTTTAAGGTAATCAAAAATTTGGTGCTTCTGTGCGATATCGGTGACTTTCTTGAGGTTCGAATCATAGTCTTCTTGTGTCGAAGAAGCTATAAAGGAGTTCCAAATCTTTAAGAACTCTTTCCAGTCATGATCACTGAACTTCTTCTTGCAGTTTTTGGCGATATTGTGGTTGATGTGCCATACGCACAACAGGTGACCGGAATCAGGAAATACGGTATTGATAGCATTGAAAAGGGCGGGCTCGGCATCGGTTACAAAGGTTTGTGGTAAACGGATTGGGACGCCTTCTTCCGTCGAATCGAAAACAACACTTTTCAATTGATTCATAGCCCATTCGTAATTCATTTCAGTTTCTTCATGCAAGAAACACAAAGCCACGGTGAAAGACTTATGTGTATTCACAGTGACATTTTACTACTCACTGGCAGGCCAGTGAGTACGACCAGCTCAATCCAATCTCAATTCCACCTCAAAACCATGTCAGTCCAATCTCAATTCAATCTCAATTCAATCTCAATTCAATCTCAAGGTTTGGCCTAGAGGAGCAGACAAACAGTCTTCCAAAATGAACTGAAATAAAGTTTAATTGCATGTCCACACATGAAGGTTTCAGAATTTTTGGAAGGTATGAGTGATTTTCAGATAAGTCACAACCAAATATACTTCTGAGTCCCTTCCAAAGACTTCTACAGTGAAACACAAGTTGACAGATATTGAGAATATGACTCATGGACCAATTTGAGAGCTCCTTGAGCAACACCTCACCAAAGATCAGACAAAACAATTTGTTGAGAGTTAGAGAACACCTCTATGCTTGAGAGTCCTCAACTCATTCACACACGCAATATGTTGAATCTCAGACAGTTTGAAGCAGGATTTCCAACTGCTGATGGAGTTGAAAACTCACAAGTCATGCTAACTGGTGAGACTGACCCCCATTTGGTATGGCTTACAGCTATTGTAAATAGTTTCAAAGTTGTTATATTTGACATTGCATAATCAGTGATTTCATGGAAGAACTCTTCTGATTTGAAACTGAACTTTTGCACCAATAATGAATCAATGGTGTTTGGTATAGACTATCAACCGTGCTTCACTATGCATCATATATCATCATCATGATTCTTATTGGCCGATTTTATTCAGACATTGAGAATCCAACTAACCTCAGAGATTGTTTCACTAATGACTAGATAGCATCATTGCACCGGTGGGTCTATGGATAATTTGCTTCATTTAATCAAACGCTCGTGGCAGGATTTCCAACTGCTGATGGAGTTGAAAACTCACAAGTCATGCTAACTGGTGACACTGACCCCCATTTGGTATGGCTTACAGCTATTGTAAATAGTTTCAAA